TTTCTAATGTGACGTAGATGTGTATGGATATCTCATATTTTTTCCAGAACTATATTTGTGAAATTCATGTGCTCACATGCAATGCAAAGGATTTTAAAATGTCATGAACGATAAGTCCAAATGAAACTTAGGGCATTTTCATATGAGTGGATTTTTTCACATAGATCAGTGAACACTCCAATAGAAAGACAGAGTTCTACTAACTCCGCAGCCAGGACGGCCCACCAAACGCCAAGGACTTCGTTTCGAAAAATCCCACGCGTTCCACATTTTCCCGACTACCTGGTCTCTGATTATGCGGGGTTTTGCAGACAGTTATTGTTTCTTTGTAAATATTTTGCAAAACAAACCATTAATGCATGAACGAGCACCAACGTAGACCACGTAGGCTTACATTTACATAAGTTCCCCAGTCTGGACGCAGTGTAATTTGTGTGAAAATCAATAAATCCAATCGCAGGTTCAATGTCTACTGAAAGTCTGGAGAACGGTGAAATGGCCGGTAGAGAACACTTTCAATTAAAATAACTATGTGCCGTTTGCATACCGCAGCGTATGAAATAAAATTATTATCCACCGACAAACAGAATCAATCCCAGTCATGTGAATTCACAAAACCCCTAATATCTGCTATCCGTAGATTTGTCGTATTTAGTAGTAGTGGAATAGACGAAAAAACAACAACGGCAACACTTTTACAAATTCCCTGACGATATCTCCAGGCCGCAAAATATCTACCAACAAAGCATTATATTCTTCCACTTCTTAATGTTGCTTGTCCCGTATACAACATGGTCCGTATCCACTGGCTAATGTAAGAACCCTATACGAATTTCTCCTAAGATTATATATTGATGCGCATTTTCTAAACTGGGAGTATACGCAGTTCGTAGTTTGAAAAATCTGAATGACATCATAACGGCTGACCAAATTCAAATTCATTCTGGAATGGAGGTTTTATTAAATTTACAGATACAGTTTCAAGTATAAAATCCGAAGCAGACGTGATTTTGTACCATCTTAGTCCAAGAAAAAATAGTTTTTACCTGCCGTTGCCCTTAGACATAGCTGAAAGACCTAACCATAATACTGAATCCTAATCGTACTCTCACAGCCTAACCGTAACCCGAAAACGTAAGTCTAAAGGCATAACCCTAACCCGAAAAGCGGAAACCATTGACCGGTACCCTAATCCTAACCTCAGACGTAAAACAGAAGCCAAATGGGTCAGATGTGATTATGGAGCTCCACAAAATAGCCCCAGCAAACAAACCCCCCGCCATCTCTAATACGGGTCCTGGCTACTAACTGCGATCTAGACCGTAATTTCTTATGAATATTTTCTGAAAAATTTCAATGGCTATGAAGTTTAAAACATAATTTTAATGAAGAACCGTATCTGTGAGCACTCCTTTATGTATTTGTTGGGACCTGATAGATAGATCAAACTAAACACTTAGTGGACACTGATGATAATAACCGTGTTTAAGTGCCTACTTCAGACAACAACTGGGCGTCTCCGGCGTTTGCCGAGACCGGTACAATACGGAGGAGAATACCGGAAATCTGCAGGCAGCTGGATCACGTGATCAAACTGACACTGCCACGGTAAGGACCGATAACGAACATAACCCCATTCCCTCTTTTAAGAACTCTCACTTCCTCATCCTCCCCAACGTGACTGACTGCTGTCCTGAGCATTGCAGCTTTTATTCGCACTCAACCGGTTTTCGCTGTAATCACAACTCGCCTACTTAGATAACTTCCTCCCCCCTACTTCCCCCTCGCCATGCATTCCAACATATCGGACCAACAGTCAGTGTTTATCTGCCTATCACGTGTCATCCCTCTAGGTCGCTCTCTAATTGGAGAGTTTAGTTTGTTTTATATACACCCAATGACCGTGCAGCATTGAGTAGGAGAACATGATATTTTACGGCGTCATTATGTCTGTTTTGTTGTGTTTGATTTGGTCAGATATTTTTTTGGGGAACAGGGCTTTAATTTATGTATTTTTACAAATATGCAAAGGGGACTTCATCTACTCAAACAGTAAAGGGTATTGCGTCCCTTTTTAGAGTGCCTGATAGACATATTTATTAACTCAAATGAAGCTTCCATTAATGCCTAGAGTGGCGACTATTTACTAGACATTTTCAGCGTTACGGACAGGTTTTCGCTAGCAGCGGGGCGTAATTTTTAAGTTAAAATCTAGGTGACGCTTTGTCAGCCCTGACAGTTAATTGTGAGTTGTGCTTCACTTGACAGGTGAGAGCATACGCTCCAACAAAAACACCTCCTAAGCCACCTCCCTCTGTAAACGGTTGATTGGAATTCAGACCGAAAAAAGCACTGAGGTAAACAAACTTGACACTCCTTGGGTGTACGAGAGCAAAGTCATAAGAGCTTAATGCCAATCCTAAAACAGCAGAAAACGATGTCTAAAAAAGTGGGGTTAGGAGGTTACTAAGCAGACCCGACGTTTTTAAAGTCTCACTTCCTAATGGATTTTGCGTGTACGATGTGCTACAAACTGCAGGGTGACAATTAACGTTCTTGTTGACAAGTCAAAAACAGCCGG